CAACATTACCAGGAAGTTCATAATCAAAATAACAATGGCAACAGTAAAGACTAGCCCATTCCAATTGTTTGGTGCTTACTGGCTTTCAAAGGGCATCCACATCTTTGTGATCCCATCACTACTGAGTCAAACATGAGGAAAGGGGTGCCAGCATTAAAGAACATCTCATTCTTGCACCTCAGTTCTTAAACTACGTCGCAAGTCTGTGAAAGATGCTGGCTCAGCCTCCTACTGGTCAGAGACTTCAAATAAATCACATCATCTCTTTGAGCTTCAGTTTCCCCATTTGTAAAGTGAAGATCATGTTTGCCAGTCTACAAGCAGCCTCAAACAGGAGAGGATGAAGTGCTTACTCACATGTACAGCGCCTCCCCTATCTCCGCAAAAAATGGAAATATTATTATCCGGATTCTTTTGGCTTCTTCTGTGGGCCACCTTGTGATTAGATGACTCTGTTTCTGTCACCTCTGGACTCTGGCTATGGCCCTTGCTGTTGGTGGTGGCTTTTGCAACAGCTGAACACCATGGAATGGGTATACCAACCGGCATTCCGCTTTCAGCTTTACTGTTGCCTGCAGTCCCCTCATGGTTCAGTGAGGTTCTCAAAGAAGATTGTTTATGGGGGTGGGGGGGTAGGTTGATGGCCCCAACCCAGTCTGCCTTGATTTCCATAATAAAGAGGGCTTCAGGGACCAGCTGGCCTTCTTTTGGTTCTCAGGGGCTTCTTGGCCTATTTATGGGGTTGGGGAAAGCCACCCTATCCTCTATCAGTCAGTTGATGTTGGTCTTGTCCCAAGGCAGAGACCTTTCTGTAAAGCAGGTTGAGCTTTGTGGACTTTGCGGGAAACCCACGTCTAAATTCCCCTCCTGAGCACTGACTGCATCGTAGGTAGAGGATTGGGCAGGGCTGAGTTCCTTTAGTTGGGAGGGAATTAGAGTCACAGGCCCACCTTCCTCAGGATGACTGCAGGCCATGGAGGATGTCCTGCCTTTTCAGGATGCTGGGAAACAGAGCTGTCAGGCCCTGCTAATTTCCCCAGCTGAAGGTTGAGATTCCAACCCACACGGAGGTATGGAGAAGAAATGGTGATCTGCATCTAATAAGAGTAGAGTCAGTTAAGCCCTATGGGGCAGTTACACTCTAACTGTAACTGTAATACATGGGTATCTAACAACACATATATACCACTTTCCTTTGTTCTGGAAACCCTCAGAAGCCAACCTGGTCTGCAGCAAATACTTCAACTCCTGCTGCTAGGTTCAGACCGACCCTCAGGGTTCTCGAGATGACCATCAAGTTCAAGTTGCCTCAAATGTAATCAGAACCAATGACGCCCTGTCCTCTTTCCCAGCACGAGGGCTCTCCTTTTACTGCTGCAGATGCTGCTGGTAGCCATTTGTTTTCTGAAACAGAACTCACCCCAACTCCCCCGTCTAGTCTCTGCTCACCCCAGATACTTTCCAAGGGTCACCAAGCAGCTAAAACAAACGCTGGGAATGAAAACTTGTAGTGAGGTGCTGCTTGGGACTGAGACCAGCAGGCCTTCGAATACATCTCTTTCACGCAGGCACACAGGGGCGCACACACATTGTCTCAGCACGGGCTCACAAGCATTCATTTTTACACATACTGGGCACACACCCTAAGGCCGAGGAACACACACACAGACAAACACACATTTGGACACAAGTACACCTCGGACACATTTGGCAGTCCGTCTGATCCCAAGTTTACTTCCCAGAGCAAGGTTTGAGCACTTGCCCTGAAATCTTAGGACCGGTTTCTGCGCGGTGGCAGTGAGTCCCGCCTCCTTTTCCAGCCTGAGCCCGGGCCTTGGTTTACCCATTGTAAAGTGGGTGGGTCAAACTCCACGCTCCCGGAGGTCAGCTCTGAGATTCGCTGAGGACCGAAGGAAGTGGGTAAGGGGAAAGAGTCAGAGACCCGTTGGAGGCAGCTGATCCCGGAGACAAGGAGGCTGATCCAAGGGGGCGCAGCGCCGGGCCGTGGAGAGTCCATGGACAACGGCGGCCCTCGACTAGGAACCGGGCGGAAAGGGAGCAGGACTGGCCGCTTAACAAAGATGGGAGGAAGGCGGAGGAGAAATGGGAAGTGCAAATAATAGCCAGAGCGTCCAATAGGAGCCACGTCTGCAGCCGGGACCCAGAGAGATTTGGGGATCTGAAATGTGGTGGAGATTCCAAGGAGGCTGATCTGCACAGGGAGGCCACCTCGGACTCTCGGAATCAGATCTCCACGCTCTCGCATCCACGCAGCTCCCTTGCCCTTCGCAGCTCCCCGCCCCCTCCCCGCTGCTCAGGGGGAAGCCAGAATACATGCGTGTTGCTCGGACTTCGTTTGAATCATTTTCCTCAGGCTTCTGGGTCCAGTTCTTGGAGGTGAAGAAACTGAGAAGGGGCCGAGGGAAAGGACCACCACCCTGAGAGGGTCGGGAAGGGGTCTGTAGTGGGAAAAGAAGCCACCGAGGGTCCTACTCCGGACCTCGGAACCTTTTCCTACTTGGAAGGAAGTTTCCCTGCGTCTTTCTCCTCCAAATTCACAAGTGTCTGTTTTTGACACATCAAAACCAACTGCCATTTGCAGAAAGAAAAAAAAATGACCTCCTCTCTCCTCCCCACCTCCTAAAAAAATCCCCTCTGTACTGGTCACCTCTGGGGAGGTGGTGAACATTCTAGCACTCTCGGGAATGTTCTGTTTTTACAAGGAAAACGCATTCATGATTCATTAAAAATATTGAGGTGAAATTTTCAAAAACATCCCTAAAGAAACAGAATGAATACCAAAAGTGTTTGGAAGATGCCGGCTTTAGAATTCGGGGTGTGAATCCCGGGCCTCGGACCTTACCCTTCGGGTTTTGCAGTTTCCGGAAACGGGAATCATTTTGTAACCGGCTGGTACACACGCTCCGCCCGGGTTGGCCAAAGCCTTTGGGATCTCAAGGCCTGGAGGTCTGGAAGGCCAGGAAAGTCGGCCACGGCCTGTGCGCTCAGGCCGAAATGGAAAGCAGCGGTGCTGGATGACCTAGGGGTGTCGGCGTCTGCAATGTTGCAGGTACTCTCAACCGCTTGTGACACCCGGAGTGAAGGGAGCATTTCGCTCCAGAGAATCCAGGGGACTCCGGGCACCTTCAATCCCCTGCTCCCTCTGTGGGCTTCTGGGCTAGTCAACCTGGAGCAGGGCGGAAAGGGAGCGGGGCAGACTGCTTCTCGTTCCAGAACAAAGATGGGGGCAGGAATAGAAAGTAAAGCTAACACCCAGCACTTCCAGTAGGAGCCACGCAGTGTCATCATGGAAAAGAAAGTGCTTTGGAATTTTGTCGACAGCTATTTGCCGCCGGCGGGGATAAACCTGCCAGGAGGGTCCCCAAGAGACAAGTTTTTAGCTCAGGTCTCCCCACTAGTTGCTTAAGGATTTCAGCGATAGATTTCTACTAGACAATTCTCAGAACAACGTGAAGACGAGGTCACGTTGAGAAACATTGGGAAAATCGAAAGCAGAGAAAGGGAGAGTGAGGAAGTGAGGTTTGGGGTCGATATAGGTCTGCGGGACCCAATTCTGGATGGCTTCTTGACTCAGAAACCAATGCCTACGATAAAGGGAGCATTTCTGGGGTTTGCGCCCGATTCAACGGGATCCATTCTGCGACCGACAATTTTACCGAAGTCTTGATTCCCTGAGCTGGTGGGTTTAAACCCTTCCTGTGGGTGGACAGCAAGGTAGGCTCCCATAGGGACCAGGTGGCATAGATCCAGGACTGAGAGGAGGTGGGGGAAATGAGCTCTAGCCTGCTTTGCTGGTTTCCCCAAAGCCGAGCAGAAAAGAGGCGTAGAAAAAAAAAAAACACAGCGCAGAGGATGGTGAGTTCAACTAAAAGTTTATAAATAATAATAAAAAACGTACAGCGCATAGAGCTCCCAAATGTCACAAATCTTTTTAAAGTTAATACTCTATTGAGTGCACAGTGCCCTTAAAGAGGCGAGAAGCTGAGAGGTTGACACAAGTAGACACACCTGTCTTAGGAACAGAGACAGGGATTGGATGGGAGAGACTTGGATGGGGCAGGGCTCAGGAGTCTCCAAGGTGGGGTGGGACCACCTGCCTGCCCCAGGAACCAGGGAGCCTGAGTTTCCGGAGGTCAGGACGGCACTGCAAAACGCCATTGGAAGGAGGCTCTGACATATTCACATTGAATACAGAAATGACCGTCATTTGAATACAAACAACTGAAAGTGCTACAAGTCACTCGCCTTAAAAAAGAAAAAGAAAAAGTTTCTGCAAAGGGCTGCTTGGGTTTGCTTTCTTTTAGTTAGGGGGCTCCCAGGAGCTTTCCACTAGAGCAACTCTCGACTTTTGGGAACAAAGATGTAGACACCCCCACAACCCCCGCCCCTACCCCACCATTAGAGGCTTCCTTCTAGATATGCAGCACCCCATATTGTGCCCCCAGCCCGAGCTCTGGCTCTAAAACCAAATCCTTCACCGTTCAAATAAATCCCTGGCCTGCGAGGCCTGGGCGCCCTCCTTTGTTACGAACGCAATTTCCAAAAATATATATGTAGATACACATAGATTGGTAACATGGATACCATGAACTAATGTGACCAAGCGCACGCAGCTCCCGGCAGGCCGAAAACTCCGGAGCTTCAGGCTACTAGTCTCCTGGAGTTCTCTCGGCTCCGGGAACACGGCTTCCCCGGGGCAGACACAATCCAAATCCAACCTTGTGGTGGTAATAAATAGTGTCCAGGGGTTTCCAGGCAGGTGAGGGTCGAGCAGGGCCCCTAGACCATAGGGTGCCTCTGTTCAAATTAGAAAAAGGCGCCCCCGCTAGGGCACACTCAGTCCAACAGACAGGGCGCACGGAAGGGCAAGCAGAGCCGGGGCTGGATTTCGCTCCCTATTTACCCCCTTGGGGCGCAGTCGTCAGCGACCGTTCGGAGCTGGAGCGCGGAGATCATTCGCTGCCTGGCCCCTGGCCGGCTCACTGGGTGCCCGCAGCGGCGGCGCATGTGGATAGTGCCCAGCCAGGGAGGCAGTAGTAGGGGTAATAGTAGGACGGCTGCAGCGGTAGCAGCGAGGGTGGCCGGAGCACCTCGCCGGGCAGGTACTGTCTCTGGTCGTCGCGCACTAGCACCTTCACAGCCACTTTCTTGGCGGCGGGTGCCGAGGCCAGCAGATCAGCGGCCATCTGGCGGCGCTTGGTCTTGTAGCGACGGTTCTGGAACCAGATCTTCACTTGAGTCTCGGTGAGCTTCAGCGAGGCGGCCAGGTCGGCGCGCTCCGGCCCGGACAGGTAGCGCTGATGGTTGAAGCGACGCTCCAACTCAAAGACCTGAGCGTGCGAGAAGGCCGCCCGGGAGCGCTTCTTGCGGGGCTTGGGTGCTGCTGGCTCCTCCTCCTCCTCCGTGCAGCCGGCCGGACCCCCGCCGCCCCCGCCTCCACTACATACAGCCGTTCCGTGAGCGCTTCCTGAGCCAACACCGTCGTCCTCCGCCCTCGGGCTGTGGTCGCCTGTGGACCCCGATGGGAAGAGAAACAAGAGACCATCAGCGCCGCTGTGGAGGTTAGGCCAGGCCTCCACTGCGGGGGACGGGTTGGCGGGAAGTGGAGAGTCATCTAGATCCTACTTGAGCATTGGGGAGGGCCTGACGACTGTGGTTCCCAAAAGGCACATTTCAGAGCTCTGAGCGGACAAATCTCAGAGCTCTGTCCCCACTCATTTCCCTGAGTCCTCCTGTCAACTCTATGTGGCTAAGGACCAGCACCTGCCCTCTCTGGGCTCCAGGCTTGCCTCAGTAATGCAGGACCCCCGCAGCCCCACAAGTCCTTCATCCGAGTCAAGAGGTTCTAGGCTATGCTTAGGCCTTATTCCCGGAAGCATTTGCCATCCCACACTTAACGTCTTTCACTCTTTCGCACAGAACATTCACTGCAGTAACGGAACCAGAAATGCTTGGAAGTTTCCGGGGTTGCATGAGGAATTTGGCAACAGGCTGTATTAAGACCCAGCGGTGTGTGTTTGGGGGCTGGTCTCCCGCTCTTGCCAAGGGTTGCGACTTGATTTGGGCTGAGAAGAGGAGTTCCTGCCCCTGGTCTTTGGGCCCACGCTAACCCCTGCTCCTCCTGCGCCCATCTGCCACCACGAGCTCCTGTTTCCACAAACATCATTCACCACTGTGGGCTCCTGCCTCAGCCACATTTTGGACCACAGGTCGTGACAACCAGCGACGAAAGAGGGCCTCACTGGTGGTGTCCAGGATAACCTAAATAAATCAAGCCCTGGTGCCTTCTACCAACTCCTGCACCTGGGTTTTCAGCCCAGGATTGCTGTCTAGGGCCTGAGATCTGGGAAAGCTAAACCCGACCTCTTTACAAAGCCGGGCTCCGCAGAGCTTTGACCTTAGACATACTGGGACGTGCTCACTGCTCATCCCTGCGCAGCTACGCTGGGCCCCGGGGACCCTAGCCAGAGGGTCTAGGAAAGGCTACTGCTAGCTGAGGTCTCTGGGCCCTTCGCTCTTCCCCTTAGCTGATTTGGGAGGCGTGGGGATTCACACGAGCGAAGACACTGACCAAGAATTTCGAGAACTTCTGCACCCCCGCCCAGCCCAGAGACAGACTGTCTGTCTACTTCCATGTCGGGCATAGTGTCCCAGGACTTCTTGGGGCTCTGCAGAGCGCGTCTGTCCAACCACTGGCTCAGCTCTCGCAAAGCGGCGGGATTTGGCCAACCCGGTGCCTAAGAGCGCAGGGTGCTCACAGTAGGGCTCCATCTCCCTGCCCTCCTCCTCGCTCTGCAGCCTATCCCCCATCCCCGCAGACCTGAGACGCTGGCCGACATCTCGCTGTCGCTCCTGCCCTCGGCTTCCTCCTCTAGGTCCTTGGTGGCGGGAAGTTCGCAGGCCGGCCGGCTGAGGCCCAGGGTTCCCCCAGCGCCACCGGCTGCGCTGGCCCTCGGGGCGTCCTCGCTGAGAGCAGAGTCTGAGTCCCAGCCCGCGGGACTTCCCGTGGTCCGTCCAGTAGCTGCCCTGGTCCCGGCAGGCGACGCCAGCAGAGTGTCCTCGGCGCCCCCCAACGCGCCTGCGTCCGTCTCCCCAAAGAGCCGCCAGCAGCAAGCAGCGGGCGCCACGGCCGCGCGGCCCCCAGGCATGGGGCGCCCTTCTGGCGTGGTCAGCCCCCCGCGCTCCTCTTTCTTGTTGAGGATCGCCTGGATGGAGAAGGGCGTCAAGGTGCTGGTGCCCCGCACAGCCATCTGCGCCGCGGGCCACAGAGGCCGGCCGGCGGGCACCAGGGCGTGAGCAGCTCGGAGCAGCCGGAGCGCTCGGCAGCCCGGCGCGAGTGAGCGGGCAGCGCAGGGCCCCTTCAGCCCAGTCCCGAGGCCCGGCAGCGCCCGCCCCTTGGGCCGGGAGCCGCGCAGCCCCTCACCCCACCACTGAGGCCCTCCCGGGACCCCTCCCGCGACCTCGCTGTTCAGCTGGATTATCTCATCGCCTCGCGCCCTCAGGGGCGGGCCGGGGTCTGCCTCCGGGTGGGGGGGCGTGGAGGAGGGCAGCAGGGCCCGGGGGCGGCCGCAGTCTCCTCCAGTGCTCCGCCGGGACGTACGGCCAAGGCACTTTTCTTAGCGCTCTGGGTCTTTCCCGTGGCGGGACTCCGCTCAAGGCTGCTCTTCTTCCTTTTCGCTTCCGGAGCCCACCCCCGGTGGGGCGTTGTCGGCTGAATTCCTAGTGGCGCGGGCCACTTTTGACCCCCTGCTCGGATTTTATCTGCTTCTTCTCTTTGCTTCTCTAGCGTTCCATCCCCCTCCCCTCCCCGCCTGGGTGTCATTCCTCACCGCTGAGTGACTGCATAAGGCCACGCCCCTTCGAGGGGCCTTCCCGGGCGCTCAGGGCCGCCCATTGGCTGGCTCCAGCTGGGAGCTGTTGACTTTAACAGACAAAACTGGGCACTTTGCTCCATCAAAGACAGGATGACTTAACCCCTTCCCTCCTGAGCCTGGTCATCGAAGCATCTTTCAGCAACCAGGAGCCTCACCTACCCAGACGCCTAACTTCCCAGACACACTGCCCGGGAAACGTTTCTAACCTCAAGCAGAAGTCTCCATCTACGCCAGTACTGTTAAGAAATACTGAGATTTAAATGAAGTAAAAGCAAACAAACATCTCTGGGGTAAAGTCAACATGATGCAGTTCTGGAAACTGCACGTGTGGATTCTGTTCTCTAGGAAGGATACGACACTCAAGGAACAAAGTACATCATCCACTGTCCCTCCCTTCTGCTTTGCCCCACCTGCACTTCGAATTTTCTTCACTAAATCATCTATGAACTAAAATTACTATAGAAAAATTTTTTTCTTTCCCTGTCGTCTTTGATTTGATCAGATTTCTACAGAGAAATTTTTAAATGTGGTACTGTTAGAATTAAAATCAGGTGAGGAACTTGGAAGGCGTGTTTGGGAAAGCTGCTATAAATTGTAGTCATTTACCTGGGTGGTCAGTACTGAGTTGGAATTTGTAGACTTTTATCTAAGGAGAACAACAACGACCCTGTTCCATTGTTTACTTTAATCACTCAACTACTTGCAAATCATATAAATTGAGAAACAAATATGCATTGCTTTGTTTAAAAGAATATCAGGGGATTGCCAGAATGTTGATCCGGAGCTGATGATATTAAATGCTCTGGGAAAATAAGAAACCAATCATTGCATATAATAAAAAAGAACCAAGGTAAGAAACACAATATTGTGGGCATATCAAAACATATGTTGTTTATTTATGTTATTTATTTTTAAATGAAAAATTTGCTCAAGTAACATACTTTCCTGTCTTCAGTATATATTTAAGCAGCGCTTTCACTAACACCAAACATACCAACTTGAACCACTAAGTAACTTTATAGACTGTGATTTTAATTCAGTAAATGACTGGGGTTGGTGTTATTGAAATAAACAACATTTCCCTCTGTTGCTTTCTTTTGGGTTGTTCTTGTTCTGCTGACAGGATGAAACACACCAGCCATTCATAGTTCTCAGCAAGGGTAAGAGGTTTTGTATCATCTGTACTTTCTAGCATTTCACCCGCATCATCCTTTCTTGTTCCAAAAGCAAACCCTGAAGCTACTGGGGGTGGGGTGGAGGTGGTAACCTAACACTTGCCGAGGTCATTGTCCTTCACCTTACAAACTCCTTAGGATAACATCCATTTTGGGGGAAAGGTGTTCAGATTTGGGTATCAATAGATGAAAGGTGTAAGGAACTGGGGAAACTCTCAAGCAACAAAAGGAACAGCAAAGTATGCTTGTAAGATTTCAAAAGAGTTTCCTGACTTGTTCCTGAAGACATTCATTTATCTTTTCAGTTAGCCCTCCAGCCTCATCCTAGGCATGTTGGGGTGCTGGGAGTCTCCGCTGAGTTATTCTCTGGATGGGTGGTGGGGCCAGAAGATGAGATTCACTCCAGTGGTCTGGAAGGTGAGAGATGGGCAGGTGTGAACTGTGTGCATCTTACAACCATCACTGTGGGGTTAGGACTTGGTGTAGAGAAATAATAGAGTTCAGAACACACAGGCAGAGATGTTTTGGGGATGAACAGCCCAGTATTAGGAATACTTTATTTGGGAATATATAAAGACTTACTTGAAAATTCTAACAGCTACGGGTTAGTTTGGAGTCCTGGTGTGACGTTGTGGGCTAATGCGCTGGACTGAAAAGTCAGTTTGAACAGCAAGGTCAGCAATTCAAGCTTGCCAGCTGCTCCTCAGAAACCCTATATAGGGTCGCTATGGGTCTGACCCGACTCGATGGCACTTAAATGTTTTAGTTTAAAAAACATTTTAAAAAAAGAAAGAAACCCAAATCATCGTTCACTGTGTTCCTTGCTGTAGGCTTAGACAGAGATTTCAGAGCCCAGAAAGACGTGTTAGGTAAATTTGAGCTGTCTCTGTTCTGCGTGCAGGGGTGTAAGAAAGCGGCAGTACTCTGGGTCTTCAGGGCGGCTGAGGGCGGGGTTGGGAGGTGGTGTGACATTTCGGGGCAGCCGAGTCAGGTGAGTGATTGGAGGCAGGACCAGGAGTGGGGTCAAGGGCAAATTACCCCATAAGCAAGATAAGCAGAGGTTTCATTATGATTACTAATCTGTCATGAATAGTTTCACATGTTTTGTGTGTATGTGTGTGTATTACCAATCTATAGTGAACTGCTTCAAAAGTTTTGGTGTGACAAAAAACATGTGAAACTGTTCAAGGCAAATGATCGAGTAAGCACAAGTAAGTCCGTGTTTACCTTGCTTACTGGGGAATATGACACTGCGTGGGACGTCTGGGGAGTAGAAATATACGTACCGGGTCTGCAGCTACAGCCCGCAGTTGCTCCTCCTAGGAAGAGCTGGGTGGGGGTGAAAGGTTCTGCGGGCTTTGGAGGCTTCCCTGGGTTCGCGCCGAGTCAGACTGGCACGAAGTGGAGTGTGTGGCGAGGGATCTGCATATCTGAGCCTACTGGTGCAGGGATCGGCGGGGACTCGCGGAGCCTACCTCCAGCGACTATCCTGGGGGTGGCCCCGGCTCCCGCAGCTCCCCAGTGTCTTGGGCACCGGCGGAGGCTACCACGAGACGCCGGAATCTTGGTGCGCCGCTCCTAGCGCCCTCCTTCCAAGTCTCCCTCTCGGCCGGCGGTTCCCTCTGTCTTCCCGCTCACCCATCGCATCTCCCCATCCCTCTTCCATCTGGATTCTCAGTGGTCCTCGCAGTCCGGTTTCCGCACGCCCCTTATGCACGCACCTAGCTACCTCCTGAGAACCCGAGCAGAGCGCGGATGGGTGGGGAGAGCCGCAGAGCCACCGCTCAGCCTATTGCAGCGTCCGCGCCCCCGCCTCGGGACTCCGAGTCTACCCAGGTGGTCAGGCCGCCCGCACCCTGCGCCCTCGGCTGACTGGGGCCCGGTGGAGACCGTCCACCCTCCCCTGAAAGGCCCGGGGCACGCTGCAATGCGAAGTCACGCGGGGCTCGGCTTTCAGACACCAGTGATCTTGACTCAAGTCGCCGGCCTTCTCTGGGTCCCGGCTTTCAGCCTTTTCAAATGAGAGCTCAGATCGGGAGTCCTCGAAGGCCGTGGCCGGGACGTACAAGCCTGGTGGGTCAGGAGGGTGAGTCGGTGCAAAAGCCGCGTTCGGGGACGGTCGTCTGTCCCCATCTGCAGGCTTCTCCAGAGTTAAGCGACTTGCGGATTACACGCCAACAGATCAATTTCCAGTCTGAAGCAGGGCTTTGCCTGCAGGTTGTTCAGATGTCCGGAAAGGTGAGGAGAACCCACACTACTCTAATGAGCGAGCGTTACCCCAGCACGTTTCTAACCGGCTGAGGGAGTTTCATATGCAAATAAACATCGTTCTTTGAAAAAAAATCTATACAACGCGAGGGTGGATGCATACTAAACATTATTATCCTCATTGGACAGATGCAAAAATAATCACCACATTTAAGTGCAGTAAAATCCAGTTGGGTTTTACATTCTAACTGTTGGTTCTCTTGAAACTTCACGTTTGCTGCAAATAAGTACTTCTGTCTTTACCCTGTTCTATGCTACCCAGTATTAGAAAGGCAGTTTCTAAATAAAGAAAATGAAAGAAGGAATTCAGACAAGCAAAGCTGTTTCTTCGCGGACTATTTTAAAATAAAGCATGATAAGGCTTGAGGATCTGAATGAAAGAAAATAAACCTTCTGTAGAGAGACTTGACAAAAGAGGGAAACACATTGGGTTCCAAATTGAGGGGATGTGGAAACTTTTCTAAATTTGCAGTGGAGCGGTGAGATTTCATCGAAGCCATTCTCCCTTGAGGTTTTTCTTACCTGTAAAAATCAGAGTTGAAGATCCCCTTTTCTTGTCTTTAAGAAAAAAAATGTACCAACGACACCTGGATTAGCCTGGATACAGTGGAGAAAGAGCGCCACCTAGCGGGCACCCATCGGATGCTAAATTGTCGATATAGAGAAGCACTGTGTTAGTCAAAATGAAAAGGAAGAATCTAGCAACCTCCCTGAGCATACCCTGGATTTCTCGTGGCTGCCTGGCTCCCCACGCTACCAATGTGAGTGTACCTCCACGACCTTGGCTTGACGATGATTTAGGGATTCCACAGCTTCGCCTGGAGCCCTGGTGTGGTGTGGAGGGTTAATGCGCTGGACTGCAAGGTCTATCTGAACTGCAAGGTTGGCAGTTCAAGCTCACTAGCTGCTCCTCAGAAACCCTATACAGGGCCG